TTGTATTGGCACATCCAGTGGCGTACATACGGGGGGGGGGGGGGGGGGGGGGCCCACCCCCCCCCCAGGACCAAAAAAAAAAAAAAAATGATATTATTGATGAATTTCTTATTATACATGGACAAACAAACGTCATAATAATATGACTATTGAATATTGACTATTGACTATTGAGTTAACACTATACTTTACCAACAACGAAAAAAGATTTCATAACAAAATTATGGTTGCCGTATATCAATCAAAATAGACACTTGATCGTACACAGTCAGTTAATTGCATAGGTACATATTAATATTGTCATTATCTCGACCGACTCGATCAGACAACGTAGGAAAAACCAATTACGTTATAATCGTTAAATTTCTCGTGAGCGACAATAATACGGTGAAATGGATTCTATTTTTATAGCACTATCGTAAATGACCATGTTAAAATATTTAATTATGAAATGTTCGTTCATTTTGTTCTATTCTGCCGTTGGAGAAGTTTATGTCAACAACTATAGTTGTTGAATAGCTATTCATTGAACTCCATAAACCATAGGTAAGTATTTAGTTAAGATTAATTTGAATTTATAACATTAAATTTGTTTATTAGCAAAACATTAAACGTTTAAAATATTAAATTGAATTATAAATACACAAGACTGATCGAGTTAATGATTTTTTTTTTTTTTTAACTCAGTTAAGTTAATATGCATACTGTATATAGTATATATTGTATTTTTAAGTACAGAACTTACCTATCTAATAAGTAATAAGTAATAAATAATAATAAATACCTAAAAATAATAAATATAAATTAGTATTATATATTTTAGTTGTCTTTCAAACAGATATTATATAGGCCCGCCGCCTATATACGCCACTTAATATATACTCGTATATATATACTTAAAATAAATAGTAATCATGGCTGATAAAAAACAATCGAAAATGCAATTTTTTTTTTCAAAACCACCTTCAATAATGAATTCATTGTCAAATTCATTGAATGCAACTCAAACAGTTATAAGTTCCTCTAGTTCCTCATTACCATCAACTGTATCTGCATCTGATACACCTATCACTCAATTCACACCTTCGACTACAGATATTAATCGTACATCTTCCAGTTATAATATTTTTGACATTGCATATTACACAAATAAATTGTTAAAGCAAAGTGAAATAGAAGAAATGTTGAGCAAAATTTGGGTCCCTGATATTAATTACAATTTTCCTATCAAAATATCAGTAGTCGGTAAACAACAAAAAGTTTTAAAGTTGAAATTTCAATATAAATGGCTTATTAGCTTTCCCTGGTTGGCTTATTCAGAAGTAAACAGTGGTGTGTATTGCAAATATTGTGTTGCTTTTACTAAAACTGAAGCCGGTGTTAATAACCAAAAATTGGGAGCATTTGTATTAATAAAATTAAAATATAAACCTATATATAAATTAAAATATGATGATTGGAAACATGCATTGGAAAACTTTAAAAATCATTCGAATTTAGAATATCACAAAAAGAGTTTATTAGATGCCGATAATTTCTTAAACATGCTTAAAAATCCAACAAGGGCAATCGATAAAATAATTGACAACGAAAAAAACAAACAAATATTGCAAAATCGAAAAAATATTATTCCAATAATTGAGGCAGTTATTTTGTGCGGCCGTCAAAACTTGGCATTAAGAGGACACCGTGATTCAGGAAAAATTGAAAGCAATGACTCAAAAGTTATGAATGAAGGTAATTTCAGAGAAATTTTACGATACCGAGCTCAAGGAGATATTGAAATGAAAACCTATTTGGAAAGCTTGGGAAAGATGAAATATAATAGTCATAGAAGTCAAAATAATATGATTGATGTTTGTAACAAAATTTTATTGGACAAAGTTGTTTCTAGAGTAAATACAGCAAAATGTTTTTCAATTCTTGCTGATGAAACTGCGGATATTTCAGGAGTGGAACAGGTATCGCTATGTGTTAGATATTTCAATTCTAATACATTAAAACTTACTGAAGAATTTTTACAATTTGTACCAACTAATAATATGACTGGTAAAGGAATAGCAAATTTAATCCTAGAAAATCTTAAACAATTTGGTATCTATACGCAATATTTACGTGGGCAAGGATATGACGGGGCAGCTGCAATGGCCGGAAAATTTAATGGTGTCCAGGCTCACATTAAAGAAATTCACCCAAATGCTCTATATGTTCATTGTTCAGCCCACTCGTTAAATTTAGCTGTTTCTAAATCCTGTAGTGTACCAGCCATACGCGATTGTCTTGGGACAATAAGTCAAATCAGAGATTTTTTTATTTATCCAAAGCGGAAGTCTGTTCTTATTCATAAAATAGAAAAGTTGTCCGAAACACCATCTAAAAAAACGCTTAATAGAAATTGCGAGACTCGTTGGATTGAGAGATACCATGCCGTTCATGACTTTTTATAACTTTTTGAGTATGTTGAAGAAGCTTTGGAAGATATTTCTGAATGGAATGACAATGATACATCTGAAAAAGCAAGACGACTTAGAATCTCTATGTTAAATTCCGAATTTATTATTTGCTTATTTGTTTTGAATAAAGTATTTGCATTAGGTTTAGTCTTATCAAAAGTTCTCCAGCAAACAAGCATAGATCTCAAAGAAGCTATGTCATTGGCACAAAACACAAAACAAGAACTTACAGAGATAAGATTGAATGCTGAAAAAGAATTTGGAAACATTTTTGAACGTGTAAAATCACTGGCTAAGAAAATTGACATTGCGATAAACATACCAAGAATATCAAAAAGACAAACCAACAGATGTAACATTCAAACAAACAATCCAGAAATATTTTATCGAGTATCAGTATTTATTCCGTACATAGACAAATTCATTAATGAATTGGAAGAAAGATTTACAAATCACCAAAGTACATTGACAAAAGCTTCCATTCCTTATTTAAAGAAAGTGGTTATGAAGATTTTATAATTCTTACAAAACAGTATAGCGAAGATCTAGAAGATATTGGAAATTGTGATGAGGTATTCAAAAATGAGTTCAAACTTTGGCAACGAAAACTTAAATGTCTATCAGAAACGGATAAACCAAAAAATGCAATGGACGCTATTTACATATGTAATGAAGCCATGTACCCAAATATTTTTAAGTTAGTTAAAATATTAGCAACTTTACCAGTTTCTTCTGCCACTAATGAAAGGACATTCTCAACTCTCAAGAGAATAAAAACTTACCTACGCAACTCTACTTCTGAGGTATGTTCAATTTAAATAATAGTATTAATGATTATAATCAACTTAATTTAATGTTGTAATTAATTTTGATAGGGAAGACTTAATGGTCTAGCTATGCTCTCGATCAACAAAAATGATTCAATTACTCCTGATGAAGTGCTGGTTGAACCAGGGCCGGCGTTACAAGTATTGACGTCTTGGGCAAAACCATGTTTTGACGCCCTTGACCCCCCTCCAACCCACATAGTTTGAGTATTAGTAAAATAAAGTTTTTTAGTGAAATTAAATAAAATTAGTACATATTTAGTATAATAAGTTAGTATTATATCAACGCATTTTTTGGACAGGTTTTTGTTTTTTCGTTTCAAAAATATAAAAGTTGTAATTTTGAGCTTGGCGTTTTTTATTGTTTGAAAATTTTTTCAGGAAATATATTATTTCACGTCACCACTGCCTACAATATAGGAATACTGTGTTTCACTAACAACTCATTTATAATATATATATATATTCATATATATTTAAGACAACTCGAGAACGGAGTTCATAGTAAATAACTAATACGGAACCAAAATATTATGTAGAAATTAACTAAACAAAAAATATGAATATTGATTAAGTACCTGTTAACTGTAACTTGTTAGTTTAAACATTTGACATTACACAGTAGATCGTACATAGCGAGAGCTCGTCGAAAACAATAAATTGTACGTGAGTATCGAGCAACTGTGTCTTTTTGATTTACGTCACACACCGCGGTATTTTCGCTGTAAGGTCCAAAAGCGATTTTTACGTAATCGTCTAGTTATATGAATTTATTGGTAAACGGGTAAATATTTTATGAAAATAAATATTACTACCATCTATTTACACATACAAATGCGGTGGTATGTTTCCATATATTATTTTTACATCAAAATCAGCGCTGTATGGATGCAGTACCAATATGAAGTAGAAAGCACAACTGTATCTTACTTCCTGTAGATAATTAATGCATATTAAAAGATAAATTAGATGAAAACAATTTTCACTTTGGCGCCCCTTTCATGCTGATGCCCTGGGCAATCGCCCGGGTCGCCCATAGCTTTCGCCGGCCCTGGGTTGAACTATCCAATAAAAAAAGGAGATTAGAATTTTTATTATAAATAATTAATAATATAATATATATAATTCTCTGTATTTACTGTGCATATTAAATAATATTTAACTGCCATGAGTTATGTAAACCTTTGTATTTGTTTTGCTGTTTTGCCTATTAATATTTATACGTGTAATGTGTTTGATTGTTAGGAAAATGGGTAGTTTTAAAGGGAAGGTTTTAGTGTTGGTTATTTTTTTTAACCCCCCCCCCTCCCCCAGATCAAATTTGAATGTACGCCACTGCATTTATCCAATGGCATATTTTCAAATTTTTTGCGAGAGGGAGGTTTCAGATTTTTCTAAAAAATAAGAATTATTATAAAATTATAAAAACACATATATTATACTATTAATGCCTATAATAACACATATACAAGTAATTTATTGTAAATTAAAATTCTCATTCACTGTACCTTAATAATAAGTCATTTATGACTTAAGTACATTTTTTTTCTTTTGGGTTAGGTTGGGTTGACTTGGGTTGACCCTGGACCCCTTACCCTCTTTCCCGAAAATACGTCACTGCATTTATCTACATCTTTAATTGGTTTTTTTTTTTTATGTTGATAATTATACTTTACTTCCTTTACATACCAGTATCTGGATTTAAGGATGATCCTTGTTTCATCAACGCACCATATACAAACCATACACAAGTAGGTATAGGATACACTTTAGATTCATAACCACAAAGTTTGTGTCGCAATAACATTATACCATAAATAATTGGACCCACTGCTATTAATGATATTAGAATTAACAACCACACCTATAATGAGTAAAAATATATTTTAAAATTATACCCTTCATGTACAAAAAATTTAAATTAAATGAATATAATCAAATTTCAAGAAGGAACCTTTTTTTGTACACAAATTTTCCTATATATAAGTCTATAAAGTACCAATTATCTATTTTTTAGAAGTATTATATTTTAATTTTTGTAAGATATTTATTTGTAAGTGATTTAATTGAAAAATATATTTCACTAAAAAAAAAAATTATAATTTTACCAAAAATTTCTTATAAATATAAAATATTTCTTATTCTTAGAACTAACATAAATAGTGTGTAATATCACTTTTAAAAAATGTATTATCAAAATTTAAACAGTGAATTTTACCTCGATTTCAAAAGGTGCTAGTAAGCCAGATCCAGTGGCACTTTCTTTAGGTCTTTTCATTAACACAACGTATTGAAACTGAGTCAACTCGATTCCCCACTTAACAATATGATCCAATCCTGGCAAAACTGGTATAAAAGCAGCTGCCATATCTACTTCCTTAAATGTGAAAATATTCAATTATTTATTCGTAAAAGTAATTATTCAATGTATATTTTATTACAAATATACAGATATTAAATATATATATATATATATATATTAAATATATTTAACAAATAAAATAAAATCACATTTTTGTAGTACTATAAAATATTGATATTTAAAGAATAATATATATAATAAATAAAATACGAGGATGTAAATGTAATAAAAGTAATCACATTGATAATGAATTATAATACACGCAAACGCGCTTATCTAGCCGTCAAAAATTACATATCACACAATCATTATTCCTCAAAATCGTCTCTCGCATTGATATATTACGTTTAATTAAATATTAATCCATTTATAAATGGCACCAACAATAGACATCCTATCCACCAAACTTCACGGAATAAAACAAAATATACATCACTAAATAGCCTTTTCATTTGAAATAATCTAGAAAATTCGAAGTCATAATTATCATATTAAAGATCAGTCACAAAAATTAACACATATCTACCTAATGTCTAAAGAGAACGCACCAATATGCATTGCATTGCATATCAACATGGAACACATATTTAACAAATGCTGCATATAAAACACGGGCAGAAAAAATTCTAAGCTCCCAGAGTCATTCACCGCAGCTCTAAACCAAGATCCAAATTCACATTCTAACACAATCAAATTCATCGTTACATAATCAACAAACAAAATATAAGCAAAATATAAGTATCAACTTCATACGTTTAAATTTTTACTTTATACTACATACTTATATTTATTTATATTAATTTAAATATATTTTAATAATATTAATACTACCAAATTGCCACTGCTGCCGAGAGTTTTTTTTTTTTTGTAAATAAAAATTAATGATTAATTAATACACGCAAACTAGTAAAATAAATAAAACATTTTAAATACATAATTTTTTACATTAAACTATTCTTGTCTATTAATATACTTGAAAATGAATAGTATATTATACTTCACCCCTTTAACTAGCATATAAACTATGCTACCGTTTTCATTTAACAAAGTTTCTCTTGTTGGTACCACAACATCATAGGTGAAACCGTATCGTTGACGTAGTGTTTCCACGATCTCAAATGCGATCCCATGACCTATAAGTGTGCCATTTTTTTCTTTCGTAACCCAACTTAGAGGTTTCGAGTTCTATCGAAATAATTAAACACAGTATACAAACACCAAAAATACATGTATAATTGTTAATACATTTACAAATACAAAATCAGAATACATAATTTGAGCGTTAATACGCATTTTACTGTTTTGATTTTGTATTCGATATTTAAGTAATATTAATTTTGTACTTACTGGGAATGTAGCAATCTTTAAACGTTTACCTCGTAGTATTTCATACTGAATCTGAATATTATTTTTAAGATCACAATGATATTTAGTACTATTGATATATTTTGCTTTGTTTTCTGGAACTATGAAATTAATGATTCATAATATTAAAATATATTTTTTTGAAAATACGATAAAAAAATGCAGAACGATAGTTTCATTTTATGATGTAGACACTCACTAAAAAATGATTTGTTAAAATTCAACCCCTACAGGGGTTAAAAGTGGTAAAAGGGGTAAAAAAGAAAAAAATCACCTAGCCGGAACTGCTGAAGCTATTATAATAAAATTGAGCCAGTAGTTTTGTTTCATAATATACTAACTCCTTAAGAATTTATTTCCCAAAATTAAGCCCCTAAAAGGATTAATAGGTGTTTAACATTGAAAATGTAATTTCTTGGCCATATTTTTAGAAAGAGGGTTATAGAGGGCTTAAAAATTATATTTGGTAGGATTTTTTTGAATCCGAGCCTTTTCGCTGAAATTACTTACATTATACTGAAATTATGAATTTGAGTCATTAAGTCAGTAAGTTCATTTTATGATGCAAAAAACCCTTAAGGATATTTCAAAATTCAACCTTTACAGGGGTTAGTTAAAAAGGTTAATAGGGGTAAAAATGGAAAAAATGTAAAGACAATTTATATTTTTATTTACACCTTGGTCAGTGTATTTGCTATAATTATTTAAGTAGTTATTATTAAAACTGTATCATAAAGATATTACAGATATATTGTTTATTACACCTGTTTGTTAATAAAATAATACATTTAATAAGACCACTGATAGTTGATATGTCTCGGATATATATCAATGCCTATATTCAACACTTTATCGATATCATATATAAAACTGATAAAATAAAAAGTTCTACGTAGGTAACACAAAAAACTGCACACGGGTGAAGACTAGTTCAGCTAGGTATCAATAAATTAATAACACTATAATTTATAAAATCAAAATTTCAGCTGACTCGATAACAGAATAAAAAAATTTTAATTATTTTTCTTATAATTTTAAAATCATAAAATTATGTAGGTTGAAGTACTAAATGTTCGTAATTGAACTATTTCGTAGTTTTTTTAAGTAATACCACTAAATACTATTTCAGTAAGAATAACTTCCAATAAATCATAAAATTATATAAATATTTATTTATAATATTTATTTTTTCTTAATATATTTTTCGACAGCAAATGAATATAGAAAACAAGAAGTTAAAAATCAAATAAATAGACTCAAACCAATTCACTTAATATAAATATTTAATATGAAATACACCACAATAGTTATGAGCGATAATTATTAGCTTATAATATTGTATCGTTAGAAAGTAAGAATTTTATTTAATTATATTTTTATTTGTAATATTTTTCTCATTTTTTTATTTTTTATTTTATTTTAAGATATTGTACAACTTTCAGATAACTAACTTGCACTAAAAAATCTAAATACCTACCATTAGTACCAAAAATATTTCGAGAATCATGAAATCAGAAAATTAACATATTTTTGAAAATTTAGAATTATATGGTACCTACTTTAAAGACATTATTTAAAGATTTGATTCCACAATAATATTAGCTGATAAAATATAATACAAAATACAGCATTTTACTTGATAAACACCAACAATTTTCACTGTTGCGTATCTAAATATAATTTAGTCAGATTACCTAAATAATGATTACAATATACTGTTTAGTTGAACAAATTATTTTAGATATTTTCATGGTAGATGTATAACAAATAAATATTTTACCAATCCTCTTGAAATTGCAATAGTTTACATAATGCAATATATTATATTTACTACTAAATAATTTAGAATAAATTAATTTGGATTTAAATTTACTTTTAATTATTTAATTATTTATCTTCATTCAAAAAAACTATCTATTTATAATTGTATTTGTATAGAGACAAAAGGGCAGAAACTCAGAAATCCAAAAATAAGGTCAAAAGAGAAGATTCATTATATGATATATCTTTCATCACAAATATATTATTATATTATTATAAGTGGCTTAAACAAATAAAAAAGTATACGGGAAACTTACTCCATTTCCATGGTGGAGGTAAAGTAGTTTCTGTAATGTTCAAAGGTGGCCAATTGGCACAAAGACCTAACAATAATGTATTAGCCAATGCCATCATACAATGTTTTTAGTTAAAACTGAAGTTTTAATAGTTTTCGTTGAATACTGCGTAGCAATAGAACACCTATAGACGTATTCGGTGATTTATTTCAAGTTGAACTGTCAAAACTGTCTTCTGTTGAATAAATTATTATACTGAAAGGGGTGTTTATTTAATCATAGCAGTTGATCACAATAGGTTTTAAAATAATGAAATATGCGTTAAATATTAATCATATGTAGAGGTATGAAGTGTTATAAAAATAATTTAATTGTACATATGTAAGCTTATGTATGCATAGAGTCAACTACCTTACACTATTGATTCAATTCAGTTGTCTTAGCAGGTGCGGATTCAGGGGGAGGGTCATGGGGGTCATGACCCCCCAGAATAACATCAAGATTAGATCCTTTGTGTTTATTTAAAAATTAAAAGATACATAAAATGTGTTTTTAATTTTTTTTCAATTAGATTTTTTCTTGCAATAAAAATGTTATACAACATATTATACTTATATACATTTAACGCTGTGTATAGAGAACGTACATTACCCCAGCTCCCCAATTTTTAATTTTGCAATTTTTTTTGCACCAATAATTAATGCTCAATTCCTGCCAATTCTTGCCACATTTTCAGAATTCCTGCTGTACCAGTTATTCCAGAAAGTCGAATTTTCTACGGGTGGGGCTGAGGTAATGTTACACAGCCCCACCCACACTTTAAGTTTAACTTTTTATAATTTTTTTTACGCCAATGATTAGTGCTCAATTCCTGCCGATCCCTACTAATATTTTCAGAATTCCTGCTGTTTCAGTTTTTCTAGAAAGTTGAATTTTCTATGGGTGGGTATGTTTTTTATGGATGACGTATCTATGTACACAATTGCTCCAGAGAACACAATTTTTTATACTATTATTAAATATTGATATATTGATTGATCTGTAATATTATAATATTAATACAGTTAAGTGTATCTTATATTCACATACTTTTTCAAAATGTATAATTTTACGTTAATGTTGTTTTATATTGTTCCTGTAAAGAATTTCACCATAATAATTATTATTCGATATACAACGGAAATGTTTAATAGTTAATGAATTTATGTTGTGGGATTTAAGTAATAAAAATCACTCACAATTTAATTTAATTAAAATAAACACTATATTATATAAATATGTATGTATATTAAATGTGAAAAACAAAGATCGATACGTGTTACAATAGCGGAGGAATTGCTGAATATGTCGCGAAGTGTAATTCACAGTGTGTCGCGGATTGTACTCACGGACTGATTGAATGAGCGTCTGACCAGCCGGTATATATATATCGGCGTCGATTGTCTAGAAAATTCTCGAAATTACCTTAACGAGATAATCATCACATATTCTAGACCATGGGATTTCCCCTTATCCACTGACAATATTGTAAACAACTTGGACGATTCGCGGTGCATTGTTTACGTCACCACAATGTTCAGCTCTAATAAAATCTACAGTAAAATTTTTAAATTTTATTTAAAAAGTTTAATTTAAATGTTTTTTAAATCGAATAAAATAAAAAATTCAACAGGTACTGTAGTCTATTCTTTTACTTGGACTGGATTTTTTTTTTAAATCGTCATACTGCTCCCAATTTTTGCATCTTCTTTTCATATAAGTTGTACAATGACCAACTGTATTTATAATGAATATAAATCTTCATGATTTTTTTTTGGACAAAATAATTTAAAATAGATAAACAATGATATTATTATGGACTATTCATAAATTCTTATCATAGTGGGTTTTGTTATTGTTGAAATAGTTTAAACAAATGCTGGATGCGATTGATATAAAGAGACCAAATACAAGCTAAATATAGCCGCAGAATGTAGTTTAATGTAATCAAATAAGACAACAATAATAATTCTATTACATCAGAGGGGATTTAAGTATTATACTTGTATTTAGTAGTGCGAGGAATATGGACAAATTATCAATTCAATTTTGATTTTAATAGAAATCGGTTTAAAACTGTATATTATAAAACTGAATAATAAATTACCACCGGAGTCAGATTTATCTTTTTTATGGCTATAGGCACCAAAAATTTGCCGGCCCTATAATAGGTGAAGAAGTTATATTATCCCTTCCAAAATACTTAATCTAAATAATAAATATATAGACACATATACACCTACATCCATTTGAATTTTTAGACAAAAGCTAAAAGTAAATGTCTACTTTGCAAAAATGTCAATGGATGTCCACTAAATGTAAATAAAAACAGATTTTCATAACAACAGCCTAGGATTATTTATATTTAGTCGATTTATTAATATAGTGTGGCAGTGTAGCATTGATTTTATAAAATCAATGCAGTGTAGGTATATATTTTTCCCCGAAATTTCGGCGAAAACAATATCCGATAAAAATAATATTAATAACCATTGTTGCTTAATATAATATGAGTATATGACCCATAATCGACCGTACGTATTCTTAACGTGGCAATGTGGGTCCTGGGCGGACTATACCAACGTGTTAAATATAGTATTATCAAAAACTGTTTTCTGTACAGTTTTCATTTATAAAAAGTCATTATTAATGATTATAAATTGTAATGAACAAAAATAAATATAAAAATAATATAAAAATATTAACAAAATGCACGCATACAATTATTTTTAGTAAATATAAAGTAATTAATTTTCGAATTTTTTTTCATATGTTTTATATTTTTTAATAAAACCATATAGAATTTTCCACCCCCAAATTTTGCCGCCCTAGGTAGCTAGCCTACAGTGCCTAATAGAAAATTTGCCCCTGATTACCACATCAAATACATTTAATGTTATCTGATATTATTAATAATCAATAATATTGTTGTAAGCGAGTAGTATTTAGTATATATATTATTATTATTATTATTATTATTATTATTATTATTATTATTATTATTATTATAACTATTATTATGAATGTATACATAACATGTACGCGTAGGCATTAGTCCTTTATGTGGGGAGTAATGCAAGTAAGCATTTTTGGATTAACCGGACGCCTCTCGCCGTCCGTATAACCAGTCGTATTGTAACCAAGTACATGAACGGTCAATAAACGAACTCATAATAGCAATTTGTTCACGAGTCTTAACCATTTTTTAATCCTTTACTTTATTCGAAGTGCGAACTTATAAACGTTACATAGTGTCGACGGACTCTAACGAGTTTAACCGATCCGGCCTATAACAAATTGGTGGCAGCGGTGCTCTTCGAAATAATAGTACGAGGATTTATTTTACATGGGACGCTGTGACAGATTACATCAGTCCAGAAATTAATTCCAAAACCGACAATTAAACGGTAAGAAAATACAATTAACACAATATTTCTGGAAGAAGTTTTACATGTAATATGTATTAAAATATTACGTTTATACGTATTCGATGCCTAAAATATATAACACTTACACGTACATAACATAATACGCCAAGTGGTGTAAAGACAATTTTGATTTTTGACGACATCAGCGAAATTCTTGGGCGTGGCATCCGGTAACTGTCAACACAACACGCGGAGCCGCTTTAATAATAAAAAAAAAAAAAAAGAAGAAACATTTCTTTCAGTGAGGACAACGTGCCCACTAATCAAAATCTATTAGCGTGCATCATAAGAGACGCTAAATAAAACGTCGTCGTTGTCGTCGCTTTCGTCCCTGACCGTGAAATATAGCACGAGTGCAACACCGTGTCTCACACTATATACACTGTCGATGTCATCAAAAATACACAACACAGTGTATGTGTATTCAATATATTGTAGTGTATACATATAATATACACAAACAAATATACGAATTAATTACCATAAACCCACGTATTACGTGGTTCCCGCGCCAGCTGTTTCGGGACGGAGAACTTCAAAGAAGTAACAGCAAGTCTCCGTGGGAGCGTCTTCGGGTCCAGCCATATAGGGTGTACAAGTCAATTAACCAGCAACAGCATCGCGATACGGCACTACGGGAAATCTACGCGGTCAATCAGAGTACGGCATTAAGTGATTCTAGAGAGATGAATACAGTAAACGCGATGAGTATCATACAATTATTACTGTAAGTTTAATCAATTTATCATATAATTTATGTCGATAGATTTAAGTTTAGTGATACTACTAGTAGTTCCGATTTATCAGATCACGACACCGATTACGTCCCTCCCCGACGGGTAAGCTTAGAATCACCATCAGTCGATAGGAGAAACACTAGGTCTCGAAAACTAAGACACGGTAGGCGTTCTAAAAGCTTTGATAGGCTATTTTTCTCGATAAATCCTAGAGACAATACTTCAATATTAAGACCGAGTAATACAATGGCAGCCACATTATCTTTCGATTCTGCGTTACAGTTAGTACCTATATTCGACGGGGAAGACCCACAGCGGGTATATCCATTTATCGACGCTTGTGATTTTGTAATGAACGGCGTTGATGAAAAAACTCGTCCTTTGCTTTTGCGAGCTATTCAGCAGAAATTGACAGGCAAGGCTTACGCAGTTAGACAATATAGGGAGATATCATCAAGGGACATGCTAAAAGGGCTCTTAGAAGTCGCCTTCTGCGCCAAGCGCACTGCAGGTCATTTACAGGTAGAACTTACATCATGTAGAATGCAAATAGGAGAAAACGTACAAAGCTATACGTCAAGAGTAGAGAAACTATTACACGAACTTTGCAACGTTAGTGCTAAGGGGAGATCTACTTCAGACACTAAAGCTATACACGGCTATATAAGAGAAATAACATTAACAACCTACATTGAAGGATTGTCGCCAAATATTAGGAATATAATAAAGTCTAGAAACCTTTCCACATTGGAAGAAGCGATTAAAGAAAGTATAGAAGAAGAAAAAATGTTCCTTTCGCACAAAGAAACACAACGACTGTTACAAGGTAAACCTTACAGCAACAATATTGGAAAATATTGCAGAAATTGTAGAAAAAATAACCATAATACAAATGAATGTAAACATACAAAGCGTAATGAAGATACAGGTCAGCGAGATAAACAAACAAAAAATGCGGCA